AAAATCTAAGAGACAGGGGATATTCTCCAACCCTGAAGCTGCTTTTATGTAGTGTTTGTTCCAGGGGAGTTGACTACAGACACCAAAATCGAACCCTGTGGGGATTATCAAGTATTTGCCTAGCAATTGGTTCAGAGCCTAATTCTGTTAAGGTGAAAATTGAATCCTTAGGGAAGGCTCTGCCCAAATTCCTTGGAATGGAGAAATGGACAGGAAGTGGGGAGAGCAGTAATAAGGTTGGTTGAATAAAGAGTCCTGAGCCACTGGGCACAGGACCACACCTTTAATCCCAGCACTCAGGAGGCAAAGGTAGGTGGATCTTTGTGAGTTCAAGGCCATCCTGGTCTACAGAGGGAGAGTCAGACAACCAGGGTTACACAGAGAAACCCAGTTCCCCTCCCCGATAAAACTATGCATCCTCACCAGGCCTCCACTTTCCAGGAGAACTACAGACTGCACCTAGAGGAGAATCTCACTTCTCCAGGGACAAACTATAGGTTATCCAATTCTGAGTAGCTACAAGTTTTGTTACTTGTTCATTTTTTTTTATGGCTGCAAAACAACACATGAAAATAATTATCCTAAACCCAGGACAGGCCTGGCAGCGGTGGCCCACACCTTCAGTACCAGTACTTGGGAGAAAGAGCCAGATGGATCTCTGTAAGTTCCAGGCCAGTGTAGTCTACAGAGCAAGATCCAGGACAGACACCAAAACTACACAGAGGAACCCTGTCTCGAAAAAATAAAAATAAAATAAAATAAAATAAATACAGGACAGACCTAACTGCAATCAGGTGTATTTAGTAAAACCCAACTTAGAAATTTTTATCCACCACTCTGAGATGTCAGAGAGGTTGGTGATCCAAACCACCAAAAGCTGAAATTTGTCATAAGGACTGAGCTGGGATAACACACACCTTTAATCCAGGCCTGGTCTCTAAAAGACATGCCTTTAAGGGAGATTTCCAGACAGGAAGACACACCCTTAATCTGGGCCATACCTTCTGCCGGTAGCCTACGTAAGAACAGGCAAGAAGGAAGCTTTCTCACTCTGCCCTCTGCCTGCTCACTCTCACAGTACTAGCCAGTCTATTACTCCCCTGGCATCAGAACTTACATTCTTAGGATTACAGAGATTACTGAAAATCTGCTGAGATATCCATCCTGGTGGACTGAGCATCTTCTGGACTCTGGGTCTTTTAGTTCACAGCCAGCCATTGTGGAATTAGCTGAACCACAGCCTGTAAGTCATTCTCATAAATCTCATATATGTGTATATCGATAATCACATCAGGGATGGTAGGATTTTATTTGAGAATCTTTACACTTTTTTGTTGTTTTCATTATTTGTTTGTTTATCTTTCAAGACTGTGTTCCCTTATGTAGCTGGTGTTCTCCTGGAGCCAGCTCTTGAGACCAGGATGGTCTTGAACTCCGAGATTCAGCCACGCCTGGCTCAGCATCCCAGAGCTGGGATTAAAGGTGTACAGCACCAGGACCTTCAGAATCTTTACTCCTTATGAATTGCAAATAACTGCTGGGAATATGAACTTATACCCCAGCATCCTGCAGTGTAATGGTTGGGAGGGGTCTATATGTTAGAGGATAAGAAGGTAACTAACTGACTTCTGAAACAGATGCTCAAGGAATTGTCCTCTGTGTTACACAGGTGAATCAAAAACGACAGAGCAGTTCTGCCCGGTTTTGTGGAAGACATGTCGATTCTTCAGGGCACACCTCGAAGGACACTTGTCTTGCCAGCCCTGAGAACCCAGTATTCCATGTCCTGGCCACTGTGTTACTTAGGAGAGCCAAGCCACTGCTTTGAGGAGGGTTGGTCTGTTGAGTGGGAACTGTTTTCTCTTCCCTGTGGACTTGATTGCTTGGACTGCCTCAGATACCACCCCAGACCAAACAGTGCCATGAAGAGGGGTGCAGATGTCTTCCAGAGTGAGAGTCAGAAGAAGCCACAAATGTCCCCAGGA